TCTCTCTCTCTCTCTCTCTCTCTCTCTCTCTCTCTCTCTCTCTCTCTGTCTGTCTGATTTTTGGAGACAAGATCTTGCTATGTATCCTTGACTGTCCTGGAACTCACTATATGAATTATTTTTCCTTCCAAGAATACCACCTGGTCTCAGGCTGGCCTTGACCTCAGAGATCAGCTTGCCTCTGCCTCCCGTGTGCTATGAGTAAAGGGGTGCACCATCACACCTAGTAACCTAGTCTTTTTCTCTTTCAGAAAGATTTCCTGGGCTCAGGGAAAGAACCCTTGATAGCACACCAGAGGCCCTGAATTCAATAACTAGTTCTGACAGGGAACTGTTTCTACAAGCTTGAAGGTTGTTGGTTTTACACTTTCAAGATGTTCTTAGTCATTCTGCATGTATCCGTATGTACACATGTGCCAATCCACCCATGGAGGTCAGAGGACAAGTTGTGAGAGTCAGACCTTTCCTTACACCATGTGGGGCCTGGGAATCAAACTTAGAACCTCCATCTTGGCAGCAAGTGCCTCTATCTTGCAAATACATGTTTTACATTTCTACAATTACATCAATAACACATTTTCAGGTCACTTTTGTGCACGGCATACAACACGGACCAACACTCTCTGTCCATTCTTTGGAGTCTGCTCTTTGCACGCAGCCAGCCAATCACTCTAGCACCATTTGCTGGGGGCCAGGGACAGGTGCTTTTCCCCATCACACTGCATCGCTTTAAAAATGAAGCTTCCTGTATGTAGATACACAGGTCTACCTCCAGACTCACACCCATACAGTTATGCACCTGTCCCTGCAGCAGCTTCTTCCCCTTCAGTATCTTAATGAATGTGTTTCTGGAAACCAGAACTGTCTACATACGTGTAGCTTCTGAGGGGGGTTCACTGAGTCAAACGGACTGGCCAGCTAGCAAGATCCAGGGATGCTCCTACCCCATCTGGAGTGTGGGTACACACGCACAGCACACTGGCTTTCAGATGAGTGCTGGCACCTGAACTCAGGCCCACATGCGTACTGTATTTTCAACTCCAACTTCAGCAGTTAAGTTATAAAAACCTGAACTATAGAAACTACATAAGTAATCATGGTAAACAGAACTTAATTTTATATATAGCATGCTTAGTACACTGACTAAATGAGAGAATATTTAGCACCCTTACCTGCAAGCCATACTTCACTCGTATTTTCTTTAGTGCTTTTCTTCTTTCTAACTCTTTTTCCTCCTTACTTAATGCTGGACCAACTAAAAGGAAAAACTGAGTTTGAAAATGACAGACTTTACAGAAAATTAATACTTACTAAAAAAAATAGTTTATCTTAGTATATTAACCAGTTCAAACCATTTTCCTGCAAATTTCATAATCTCATTTTTCATGATAGTAGGATAAGATCCCACTGTATGTTTATAAACCACATTATCATTATCCATCAGCAAGTGGAAAGTATTATGCTGAGATATCTAACCCAGGTCCAGAAAGACAAAATGTCATATTCTCACATTTCAAATATGCTGTGTGAAAAATGTAAGCTGGTGCACTGAACCTGGAGTTTCTGCAGGACCTGGAAGGCAGGATGAGCCCAGCAGACGGGGAGGGAAAGTCGAGCTTATGTAATACGGGGCTAAACATTTATGTGGGGAGTTGGGTTAACCAGAACTAAGGGCTGTGAAAAGCCCTTCTGGAAACCCGCTGTTTTGAAAGTCAACGTACAAACAAACAATCTCGACAAAGGAGTTTGACTAGAGGAGGGCTGAACGTGTGGACAACAACTGTGTCCGTTTAGCCCTGCGGTGTAACACGCTGAGCACACATGCAATGCACGTCGTCTACAACCCGCCGAGTAGACACAGGCCGCTCCACTCAAACGAGTGAGACGTGAAGGTGGGAGGTGGGGCTCAGGGACGGGGGCAGGCCGCTGCTCCACCTTAACACTCAGTGCTAGCATCAGGCGTGCAGCCTCAGTCTCACGGCACGGGCTGCTCACATACCTAGAGGCTCCTCTCTCCTGTCGAGGCGGAGGTGAGCTCGGACCTGGCCCGGCTCACAGCCGTCGCACGTCTCGCTGCCGGGGTGAATGTGGAAGGACAGCACAGTCTCCCCGATCTTCACTTCGTCGCCGTGCTCAAGGACGTAAGGATCGCATTTAGTTTTTGGCTAGAAGAGAAATTTTTAATGAAACAGAAATACAAAACAGCCACATGGTTACATTATGCCTACAGTAGAGAAAAGTTCAGCAAAGGAGATGCATACTTCTACACTTGATGGACAGACCTTGAAAATTACGGCCAGGGTCTCGACAGCAGCTCAGCGCAAGAACACACACTTACCACGAACCAAACTCCGCTCTCCACCCATGACCCTTTACAGTATTCCAGAAAAGCTACTTATAATTTTGATCTTATTTCTTACCGACCAATTTTCTTACCACCCGTCCACTCTGGACTTCAATCTATTAGCAAAACCATAATCAGAGGAAAGTTGTATGTTAAGAAGTGATTGCCTTTCTTCCTCCTTTAAAAGAAATTTGCTCTGTGTGCGCTCATGCGCACACATATGTGTGTATGCGTGTGAGAGAGAGTGTGTGGGGGGGATGCATAAGTCGTTACATGGGTCCTGGGACCAGAACTCTGATCCTAATGATACCACGGTAAATACTCTTAACCACTGAGCTACCTCTCGGCTTTTCTTATAATTTCTTTCTTTCATTTTTAAAGCATAAGGCCTCCCTGGTGGTTTACATTATCAACATGACAGGCTCTAGAACCACTTATGGCCTCTGAGCACACTGGGGGAGTATCTGTAGTTCAAGGTGACCTCTGGGCATGCCGGTGAGGGACCATCTAGATAAGGGTAACTGAGGTGACACAATCCACTTGAACTGTGGGTGGCCCCGTGCCATGGGCTGGGGTCCTAGACGTCACAACCGGGAGACACTGAGCTTCGTGCTAGTGTTGTCTCCCTTGCTTCCTGAAGTCCAACATACTGTAACTACCCGCTTCACAGGGACCTGCTCCATCAGGACGGACGACTCTGCCTTTCCTAAGTTGCTGGGTCAGGGTGCTCTAGTTTTCACAAAAATTCTTAGTTTAGCATTATTTTTATTAGGACAAAAAAGGGGCAGGTTGGGGCTGTCTACTAGTGTGTCAGAGTGACAGCATCTGCTTGTCATACAGGAAGAAACTGGGCTAGAGTCACAGAGCACACAAGAAAAAATAGGGCCACCAAAGCTGCTTCTATGACTACTCAGTCCTGGGCCAGTGAAATGGATCAGCAGGGAGACGTGACTTCATCCATGAAGCTCTCCTCCACATGCAGAGGTCACACACACACAAACAGCTAAATAAGCTCTATGATACAGTCACACCTAAAAGTAGCAATACAGATGCTGGGGACAGCATACCATGACAAGGACTGCCTGCAGTAGGCCTTGTTAAAAAAAAAAAAAAAAAAAGAAAAGAAAGAAAGAAAAATGGCGTCTGAGACCCTGAGAGGCAGGAGATACATCCCTCTAGGGGACCCGCCATCTGAAACAAGGGATCGCCACAGCAGGCTGGGATGGAGACATCTCAGTAGCCCACAGCAGCTCTTTGTAACAAACAGTTGTTCCCATTCTCCTAACCTTAGCCCTGGACAATGGCTGTATAGATTTCATCTGTGCGTGACTGCTTTTCAGTTGGCCTTAGTGTGCATAACTATTCTATTCTATCTGACTTTCCTACTTCTTTCTCCTTCTGCTCCTGTGAATTCTGTGAAATTAGGTGTTCCTTGATGTAATGAGTCTTAAACAATTAAAAATTGAGGCAAGGGGCACAGCACAGCACAGTCCTAATGGCCCAGGTGCATGCTGTGTGTTCTCATCTTGGAAACAATGCAATAACTGCACAATGGTAGTTCCAGATTAATGCTTGACTTGCAAAGAAAGTTTGAAGAAATTATTAGAAAAAGAAATAGAACCAACATTGGGACCCCGAGAAAGGAAAAAAAAAAAAACTATTGACGTTATGAAATAAGTTTTGCACAACATTTAAGGGTGGTTTCTGGATCAGCAAGAATAGAATATATAAAATCTTACACAGTAAAACTAAATCAAAACACTGGGACTTGAGAGACATTGTGTGCAATGTGCAGAAGCAGAAAGCTAGGGGAACTACTGAGTGAAGGGTTAACTTGATTCTTTTTGGCAACTGTCTGGCAGCTTTGCCCATTTATCATTAGATAAATTATCATTAGATAATTTATCATTTATCATTAGAGCTTCACAAGAAAATTTATGTAGCTGACCTCTTTGAGTTCTGAAGTATAGTAAGTCAAAAGTTAAAGTTTAAATAATAATAAGTTTGCAATTATTATTATTTTGGCTACAGGCCTGGGAATGGGGAAGCTTGAAATTTTGGGGAACAATTGTAATTCTTAATTTTTTTGTGGGATGTTGCTATTCTTTTGAATTTGATTTGGCAATGATTATACAATGTCTTTTTTTCTACCTGCTTTTGGAGCATCAATAAAAGACAGGGGCAAGAGAAAGGCTAGGGAGGGAGAGAGAGAGCGAGCAAAAGGTCAAATGAAAGAGCATGTGGGGTGAATGTAGAGAGAATGTGAGGAGAGCGTGTGAAGAGTGAGTGAGGAGAGGATGTGAGGTGTGCATGGAGAGTGTGTGTGCGAGTGAAAGGAGAGTGCATGTGGTGTGTGTGAGGTGTGGGATGTTCGAGAGAGGGGAACGCACAGAGGTGTGTAGGAGTGAGGGAGTTGAAGAAAAGAAAAGCACACAGGAGAAAAGCAGAGTGCGCAGGAGAATGCAGAGTGTGTGAAGCCTCAAGCTGCAAGTGAACGAGCGAGAGAGGAAGAGAGCAGAGTGAGAGAGAGAAGAGAAACTTTAAGCCTTGGAAAATTGCCTGACAGCTTGTAACGAAAAAAATAGTCTGTGTATGTATTTATTATGAGCCTTCCAGACATCCCTGCTTTCAGTTGAGAACTCCGATCCTGTGTCGAGGCTGGACCCCGACATACAGATACAATTAAAAGTCAAAACTCAACACACCAGTATCTACTAAATATATTTTCTAGTCCTTTCTGGAAAATTCCAACCAAGTTATAAATTTGTGCTTGAACTCTGATCTAAACCAAATGGTATCTGTAGTGACTAGGACCTAAGCTCAGACGGAAATGCAGGGGACAACACAGTAACTCACCTGAAGAATCTGTTTCCCGTTGACAATGGTACCATTCTGGCTGCCCTGATCCACAAGAACATAGCTTTGCAAGTCATGGTCGAAATAAACTTCTGCATGGAACTTAAAGGAAAGCAACCAAGCAATTACAAAGAACTCACGTTTTCAACCCAACTAACTTCACCATTATACAATGGTGTAGATATTAGTCTCTTCTCGTTTCACCTCATTTTTCTTAATGTTTGTAATACAAATGATTATAAGTCTCTGATAGAAATATAGAAGCTATATTTCCTATGCTTCCACCTTTAGCTATGATGAAATATATGATGTATATATCCTGCCTCTTCTACTTTTAAAACCTAAGTAAGATTATACTGTACATACAAGTTGATTTTTTTTCCAAATATAAGTACTATCACTGCCTATTTAAAATCATTACAAATTCTCAATACATACTAACTTGAAACACTCAAGAAATTCTTGAGGAAGCAAGTTCTCCAGATGTTTAAAACATAGGACTGACCCTTCCCTTACTGCAGAGAACAGTACATGGTATTCATCAACCGTGCAGCTCTGCTTCACAGGCTTAGCTTATGCCATACAGTTTGTCCAAGCAGTGGGTACAACTATACTTCATTCACCTATTATTATGTGAATAAACCCCACAGTCAAGGCTTGCTGGACATCTAGGCTTTCTAGGCTGTTATTATCTTTAAGATTTTGCTATGGTCAGGCTGGAGAGATGGTTCAGTGGTTAAGAGCAGTGGCTGTTTTTCCAGAGGACCAGAGTTTGATCCCCAGCACCCACACGGCAGTTCATCCACACAGAGGCTTATAACCATCTGTAGCTCCAGGTCCAAGTACGCCATCATTTTCTTCTGGCCTCTGTGTGCATGAGGCACCCAAATGGTACACAGACATACATACAAGCACAACACCCATATACACATTTTTTTAATTAAAAAAAAATTGTTATAAGCCTTCTTGTATATACAGTATCTGTATACAAACCAACTATTTCTCTGAGAGATATACTTAAGAGATGGAATTGTCAAATTACCATATATGTAAATTTTATTTAAATTTAAAATGTTCATTTATTCTGTGTGTGTGTACACGGGGTACACTGGGTGTACATTGGGCATTTTGGGGTATGGGTGTGCCAGGGTGTATGTATGGAGGTCAAAGGACAACCTGTAGGAGCTGGTTCTCGCCTCCTACCGTGTAGTTCCTAGGGATCACACTCAGGCACTCTACCTTGACAAACCATCTCGCTTTCAGTTGCCCCTATATGCAAACTTCAAATCTTAAACTAAATACTGTCATATTGTCTTCCAAACTAGATATATCCCCATTGTCTATGAGAATCTTGTTACTTTAAACACTCTTAACCAAACTTAGTTATTGTCAGAATTTAAATTTTCTATTAATCTAGAAATGTGTAATAAAGTTTTACCATTGATTTGAGTTTCTGATTTCTACTGAAAATCTTTTTAACAGCGGTTTCCTTTATTATTTTTAACTATGTGTATGTGTACAGATCCTCTGTATGGATCTGTCCAGATGCCTAAAAGGCCAGAGGCCTGAGACCCCTAACTGACTGTCTCCAGCCCTGAGCCCTGCGCTCACTAGTTACTAGCCACCTGGGCTCCTCTACCGGCTACTTTCTGTAGTCACACTGTCTAGAGTAACATTATAAAAGTTTTAGATGACTACAAATGTTTTCACACTGCCAAATCTTATTCCAAAAAGCTCTTCTAAACCGAGCTCTCAATAGGAACAATTTTTTAATAAGTATGTGAATAAAAATTCCGTCTTGCCTTCACATCTGCATTGCATGTGACTCCAGTGACTTCTCATGTGTGAGCCAGGACACTGTCTCTATGGTGAACTGACTGCACCTTTGACCTACTGATCTACTGACATTGCAGTGGAGTTGGAGAAAATATAGTTGTACAAACCCAACATACATCTGTCATAGCTTTGTGATGGCCACTGCCTGCCTTTTTAATTTGCTTGACACACAAGCTTAAAACTTAGTCAAAATTAGCTATGTGTAAATTTTACTGTCTTTTTAAAACCTCATAAAGCCTCCTGTTCAATGCTCAAGTATTTGTTTCTGTTTTCTTTCATGGTAAACTGAAGGCTTTTAAAATCAACACCCTGACTTTATCTGCCTGGGAGTGTGCAGTGCGTGCTATCAGCCTGACGCTTCCTAGATCATCCAATTACTAGACAATGGCACTAGACACCAAACCAAACCAAAGCCAGAAACAGGCTTCTCTGCATTTTAGCCTAGCTGAGACGGGGAGAGAAGTTCTCTACTGCTAACATTACAGGCTGGGCTTTCTTTGAAAGAACTATGTAAGTAAACAGGGTAGGAGGAGTCCCTGCTTCAAACAGTGTTGGGAAGACTTTCCTGATAATAGAAACAGATTCCAATAAAAACACATATTGTTTGTTTGTTATTTCAACATGGGGTTTCTCTGTGTAGCTCTGGCTGCCCTGAGACTCACTCTATAGACCAGGCTAGATTCAATTCCATTCTTAAAGACAAAAATCATAGAAAGTCTCTGTGGGTTCATATCACTCCATTAAATAAAAACAAGCAGGGAGGCAGAGGCATAGATGCCTGGCCCCTCCTCACAGAGCTCTGGGTTCAGATCTCAATAGTGACGGAAGGATAGTCAAACAGCTCCAAACACACAGCATGGAGAGCTCAGAAGCGCAGCCTTTCTCTGCAATTTTAAAGCTACAGTTCTGTTTCTTTTAAAAACTCAACGTTTTATTGCTACAACACAAAGCCACTGAAAATTTGAGAAATCCTGAGGTAGAAAAGGCTAGATTATTCATGAATGGCAAAACATTTAGATTGAAAGCAAGTGCTTATGAATCAGTGTTGGATTTATTTTTTGAATTTGCCACAAAACATAGCCTATTTACTTCAGTTGATAAATGTGTTGATTGGATACTATTTTTTTTCCAAAGGGGAGGGGGTTTATTCAGGGCAGAGGGCAAAGGTGGGGAGAGAAACGGGAGAAGATGGTGGAAAAAGAGGAGAGAGAGAGAGGAGAGAAGTAGAGACCGGCCATGACCATGTGGAGAGAGGGGGAAGGGAAGGGGGAAGGGCAAGGGGACAGAGAGAAGCTAGAGGCAAGAGAGTAAGAGAGTGATTGGATACTATTTTACTATTCAAGTTAAATAAATCTATGTTTTGTAACTTATGCTTCAGACGTGTAAACAAGACAGAATGAGTCAGTCAGCTGATATACACCTATATTCCTACTATTCAGGAGCCTGAGCCCGGAGTACTTAACAGCCTGGGAACAAGGAGAGGAAGACCCTGTCACAAAACAAAACGTGACAAAAATCCTTGCCAAGCATGAACGGCCCATGCCTATATAGCACTTAGAAAGTAGGTGTAGGAAGATTGGGAGCTTTAGGCCGACCCTGCTACTTAGTGAGTTGGAGGCTAGCCTGGGCTAGCTTCCAGAGACCCTGTCTTAAACCAAACCCAAACCCAAACCCAAAAGTCCCATAATTTTCAAACTGTGAAAAGGACTTTTTGTCAAACTCTGAAAGAAACGAAGAGGCACTGCTGTCATCACTATTACCACGCCATTAGCCCTCCTATTCAACAGAAAGTCTTACGTTTTCTGCTAAAACGATCCCACGTTTCCTTTTTGTTTGCTCTGGTTTTATAGAGGAACTGTTGTGTAGCCCAAGCTAGTTTGGAACTCACTGTGTAGTCAGGACTGTTCCCAAACTCTCAGTTCTCCTGCCTCTGCCTGGGCCAGACACTGGGACACAGGCAAGGACAGTTGCACACCCTTTTCTCTCCTAGGGCTGCAGTGCAGAGTGGAGGCCTCACCTTACTGACAGCGGCTTCAGGGATCCGCACCGCGTGCTCCATGTCCTTTTCTCTGCAACAGTAAGGAAAGTGAGTCGGTAATTTGGGAACACAGAAACACAGCAGTGACAGTGACAGGGCACATATGCTTTACTCGATGCACCAGCAGTCCCCCAGCTGTGGATGACCCTTACTGACACTCTAGAGTTCACATGCTTCTACATAGTATTTGTTTACATCATCTTTCTTGTTAAATTGTGCTTTCTTTGGATAAAGATGTTGCTTTAGCCTTTTTGTTTCTAGAACACTGCTTCACATTACTAATATACGTAACTACAATACTGCTCCTCCACCTTCCCCAGACAAGTGAGAGCCCCTCAGATACAGCAACACGCCTTACCTCCCAATGGTGGCTGGGCTCACAGCTGTGATGATGAACAGCGAGCCCATCTGCAGCACTGGAGATCTAATGACAATCACCCGAATACAAGGGGGCCAAATTTTGTCCTCATCTACCAAGGTAAGAGGTACATAAATATTAACTTAAAGTTCTATGAAAATTAATTTTTCACACAGATAACTAGGAGACCAAGTTCTCAGCACAAAGGAGATTTTTTCGCCCCAGAGAAACAAAGGACAAGGAATAAGAGACAAAGACAGGGGACAAGGGAGAAGAGAAGAGGACATGGCGGTCGGGGGGGAGAATGAACGAGAGGGGGCAGGGATATTGGTCCCAGAGAGGGGACAAAGGACTGCCTCTGGAAGAAAGAAGACAGACATGGCCCAGAGGCAAATGAGTTTATAAAGGTAGAAAGAAAAGCCCGTGTTAGGACGAGGTGTTTCATTTTAATTGGCATGTAACGTAGGTGAGTCACAGGGAGCCTCTCACTTCTGGACTTCACTATTCTGACAGCCGGACCTTGATGGTCAGCCTCAGGAGGAAGAAGTGACCAAATACAGGAACAAACTTTGGTGGCTAGCTTTAGGAATGAAATCTAAGAAATTCAGGAGAAGGGCAGGGCCCACGAGAGCCATGCTGGCCACCCTCGAGACGGCCAGAGCCCCTTCATTACTCATGCTGCAGCTCAGATTTGGTCTTCAGATCTATGTGCCTGTGCCCAGATCTCACACAGCGGACCTTCAGAGGCTGGCTCTCCACACACCAGCAGCTGATGAGCCTCCCTAAACTCCCTCCCTTCCTGATGTCTGACGCGCACACTCTCTTCAGTTTGGTGTTTCGGCCAAGCTTTCCTCTTTCCCTTTTGGCTATACTGCCAAAATCCAGTGTCTGCTCTTACTGTCTGAAAACCCTGTCAACAGGTCCCGGATTACTTGGGCCTACTGGGGTTTCTCTTGGTGATGGACCCTGGGTGACAACCTTCTGTCTCAGGCAGTTATTTTTATTTTGGGCCTCTCTAGAGATACGGGGATGCCCCGTCTCTTGACTTTGGCCAGCCAGCCTCCACATGTGATGGAAATGCTCTCCCCAACCTGAAAACTTGGTATTAATGGTGTGCGTTAGCACCCAAAAACTCTGGCGCCTGACTGTGCCTCTGCCTTCTCCCGTCTGCTCTAAGCCCTAAGTGTGACTCCTGCACTCTGACCTTTTCCAGGTGCTACTATAAGCCTTGGCCACTTCATGTTCTATTTAACCCTGTGTGTGCCTGCCAGCTGCTGTGCTGTGGTGCAGCCAGCCCTGCCCCTCCATTGCCATACAGCAGAGCTTCAGCCTTGGCATTGATGATGCAGGCCACACCCCTTAGGCCAGAGGTGGCTAGCGTCCCTTCAGTAGCCAACATAAAGTACACAACAGATTTAACATTTCTTTCTTTCCTTCCTTCCTTCCTTCTTTCCTTCCTTCTTTCTTTTTTTGGTTTTTTGAGACAGAGTTTCTCTGTATAGCCCTGGCTGTTCTGGAACTCACTCTGTAGACCAGGCTGGCCTCGAACTCGGAAATCTGCCTGCCTCTGCCTCCCAAGTGCTGGGATTAATTAAAGGCGTGTGCCACCACTGCCCGGCCAGATTTAACATTTTTAGTTGAAAAATATCCTGAACACATTTTTAAATTATTTTAAGTCATAAAATTTTAGTCTACTTTTTAAAAATAAGAGAACTTTCTATTGAGAAAAGAACAAATTTGCTTACTATTGTTACAAAATATTGTGTTTTGCATCTTTATAGGAAGTAAAAAAGTTAGAATGACCAAAATACCTATGCAAGTGACTTCTTTCATAAGCTACGCCTTTAACAGCAATTGACTTTTCTTCAGTTGCAGAAGCAGAGCATGACAGCAAAGCCTTAGTTAGAATTTAGAGTGCAGTGCTACGTTCAGTGGAAGCTACTCAATACACTGCAGGTCAATGCAAGTCGCTCTCTCATGGCTCAACTCCTAAAATCTGACAAGGGATCCCTGTCACAATTCTCAATGCCATCAAAGAAGTGGTGTGCCCTTGGTCTGCCTCTCCGGCTCTGCTCCCTTCCGAGCAGAGTTTTCCTTCCTTACCTTCATCGTCGGATTCTTCTGAGGACTCCCTGTCCCCACTGCTACTGTCTCCATCAGAACTCTTCTCACTCTGAGAGTCTGTGATCTCACCTTCTTCTGGCTCGCTCTCACTCTCTCTGACTCTGTCATCCTTAGATGAAGCTGAGTTGTCATCTCCAGGAGACTCCACAGTGTCTCCACTAACTGCCACAGTGAGCTGTAAGGGACTACTTTTGTGAGAAGTGTCTATTCTGGCCTTCTTTTTCACATTTCCAGAATGTTCATCCTCACTGCAGTTTATATGTTCTACACTGTAGCCTTTCTGATCTTCTGAACTCAAATCCTAGAAAGAGGAAGCAGGGAAGTAAGTGATGTCAGCATTTTACAACACTACATAAAGTCTCACGGATTTAGGATACAGGACAGGGACAGGACAGGACCCCACATGTCCTGCGTCATGACACCATCGCTCTTAGGATGTGGCATTCACTGTTGACACCCAGCACAGCATCACATGGGATCACTATCCAGTGGGAGGCACTCCACAGCCCAGTGTGCCCCTCCATCTACTCTCAAGGCCCCACATTCCCAGCCCAGGCCAACATACCTGTTCCCTGCTCTGTAAGAAAGCTATATAAAAAAAACCCTCTTGTTTATACTTTCAAATTTTCTAGTAGTTAAATTTAAAAACTTAAATAAAAATATTTATTCACTTTTGGTTTTCTTTCTTGCTTTCTGTTTTTCTTTAGGTTTTTCAAAACAGGGCTTCAGTTTTAGCTCTGGCTGACCTGGATCTCACTCTGTAGACCAGGATCAAATTCACAGAGATCTACCTGCTACTGCCTCCCGATTGCTGGGGATTAAAGGTGTCCCCCACCCCCGCCTGTGTATTCACTTTCATCCTAAGACTTCAGATTCATACACATCCAGGATATCCTCACATACCACACACAGGACCTTCGCTTCCGTCCACAGCCGTATGTAGCTTATGGCTCCTATCCTGACTAGTGTGAAACTAGACAATGTATCAATTCTAAACATTTGAGTTTTTAAATAAGACAATGCACACAAAACATAGAAATATTTTAAAGGATTACATGAATTTAAAGATCTAAATATAATCAATGTATCAAAATTGATGTTTTGCCCAAAGTGAACATGTTAGAGTTAGTCTGAAAATGCACAGAAGTTTAAAGTTTAAACTACAAAGGTTTTATTTATATGTCTTTAAGTCTAAAAACTCAGCCTGTCTACCGTAAGCCTTGTATTATTAATTTTTTGGCATGCTTTCTGAAAAGCGAACAAACTATTTTAATTACCAAATTAAACGTATGCATTTTTACTAAGCAGACTTCAAGCTCTGCACAGAATGCATGATTAAATCAAGCCAATGAGCATATGCGTCACATTCTTCTTGTGGTCATAATACAAGTTTACTCTCATGATGACTTTCAAAGATTAGAATACATGGACTAGGGGTATGAACAAGGTCTTGGGTTCAATCTCCAATCCACATGAAGGTAATACAGCCACTAAGTACAGGCCCCATTCTGTACAACAGACAATATATTAGTATCATGGAAACCGGCAAGAAGCAAAGCCACTGTTCCTTCCCTTCAGGATGTAACACTCTCAATTTTCTTTCTGCCACGTACATATAGTGAAGAGAGTTCTCATGTAATTTCACAAAATATGACACCATATTTTTAATAGCAGCATAAATTGAGTTTGGAGACAAGCTGAACATTCAGTGTGAAAAACTATATACAATACAAACTCACCAAGGGCAAGAACAAGGGCAAGGAGCTAAAAAGCTATGAGCTTTACGGTTATGTAACTTAGATCAACAGCATCTAGCACGCTATGCACACACTGTTTAAAAAGCATGTCCCCAGAAGAGTCTCCTCTGTATCATCATTACTGCTGGACAACAGAAAGAAACTGACTCAAACTGTCAGGGCACTTCTGATAAGGGATTCCTGGGGTAAGCTGTTAGATAAACACCCAGAAGGACAAGAAAGGGCACTTGTACATAGACAATAAAACACACACACACACACACACACACACACACACACACACACACACGTTTCTCCCAATCCCTAGGACATGCTGCCTTCCTTCTCATAGCCTCAACTGTAAATACTGAGGCTCAAAAGGATCTTATGAAGGAAGGAAATTAGTGTGCTTTCTCTAATCACTCAGCTTCACAGTTGCCTCTCAGACTCTTCTTACTGCTAGGAAGAGAGCTTCTAATAGGAACAAATCGAAAGTTTTATTTTTATTTTCAAGATGGTTTCTCTGTGTAGTGCTGGCTGTCCTAGAACTCACTCTGTAGACCAGGCTGACCTCAAATTCCACCTGTCTCTGCTTCCTGAGGGCTGAGATGAAAGGTGTGCCCCATAAATGCCCGGCTCCCAAAGTTTACTTTTAGAAGTTCACTAACATATGTTTCTGTTCATTTAGGTATTATCACTAAAATGAAAACACAGTGAGAATAGAAAGTACAGACTCTTAATTACAAGTGTTGATAGTAGGATTTATTACTTTTAAGTAAATTTCTTTGGGTTAAAAAGAAAAAACCACCGAGTGGTGGTGGCGGTGCACGCCTTTAATCCCAGCACTTGGGAGGCAGAGGCAGGCGGATTTTTTCTGAGTTCGAGGCCAGCCTGGTCTACAGAGTGAGTTCCAGGACAGCCAGGGCTACACAGAGAAACCCTGTCTCAAAAAACCAAAAAAAAAGAAAAGAAAAAACCATGACATAAAATTTCTAACGTACCAAATAGTTGCCACAGTTCAAGCAATGAGAGTGCAGCAAGCAACCTCCTCACATGTCACCAACCTCAGCCACTCAGGGAGCAGCAATAAGAGCATTGATAACATTTTAATCAGCGTGGCATCCTAAGTGATTGTAAAATTGCCTTTGATCTTCATATCTAAATTCCTTTTCCTGTACATGTTATCATGTTCTTAACTATGAAATGCTAGCAGTCAAACCCAAGGCGTTGCACGTGTAACATAAGCTCTCAAATACTGTAGTACATTCCAGGACCTCATCCCCCCCCCCCCATTTCTTATGCCTATGGCTGTGTTAATTAAGCAAATAAATCATCTTTCATTTTTAATTTTTTGAATATAAATTACTATAAATGAGATTCTCTACCTAGTGCAAACAAAAAACCTTGTGATTATTGATAGCCAATCTTTTTCCAAAAAAACAAAAAACAAAAAACAAAAAAACAAAACAAAAAACCCCAAAAAACAACAAAAAACCCCAGGCTGAACCGATGGCCAGGCAGTTATGAGTGCCTGAGCTGGACCCATGCTCCTTCCCAGCACCCACATCCACTCACAACCAATTCTAACTCCAGCTCCAGAGATCTGCCACTTTTATCTGGCCTCCATGTGCACCTGCACACCCATGCATGCATGCACAAACATACATGTGCACACACAGTTACAAAATTTATATCTACAGACATAAACAATGTACCTTTTCTTTCTTTCTTTTTTTTTCAAGACAAGACAGGGTTTCTCTATGTAGCCCTGGCTGTCCTGGAACTCACTCTGTAGACCAGGCTGGCCTTGACTCAGAGATCCACCTGCCTCTGCCTCCAGAGTGCTGGGATCAAAGGTGTGTGCCACCACTGCCACCCAGCAACAATAAACAAACAAGAACAACAACAACAACAAATACCCTTTCATTCATAGTATGTACTCCACTCCATATTTACCAGGAATGCATTTTTAAGTTTGCAATTTAATAAGTGAGAAACTACTTGATTAAGAAAGTTGAGTCTGTTTGCCCTAATATATAAATTATTTTTCTTTTGTGAACTATAATAACCAATTTATTAATCAATGTCTGGATGTTGTCTGGATGTTTTTTCTGAATTATACATTGTAAGATGCTTTATATATCCTAAATAAATACTTCCTTCAAATTTTACTTCTAATGACTGAATTTGTAAAAAGAAAAACCATTCATTTCACCTGAACCTTTCTTAGTTATAGAATATGAAACCTTACTAAATATATTTAAATTTAAAGATACAGAATGATATTTACATTCATACAATTTGTGGCTTAAACTAAAATACTGTAAAATTTAAAAAATAAGAAAGCATTACCCTTTCTTCATTTGCTACACAAACACCTGGCTCCTTTCTTCTCTTCTTCAGTCCTCGCTGTCTGTTGGGTTTTGTGCTCGAGGTCTGGTAAGGCTGCAAATCTACTCGCGAGTGAAACTGGTACCGACCGCTGTCCACATCGCAGTAGTAATAAATCCCGGTGGAAGGGTCATAATACAGTTGGTTCTCCTTCCAAAGTAAAGACAGGAAGTTTTAGTCATGTATAATGAAACAAAAGAGAAAAAGAAACAAAATGAAAACCAAATATATCCAAAGATAGTGGGCATGTTTGTTTTAACAACTATTGTATTTTCAGATGAATTAGAGAAATAGAGAAAATACTTTAAAAAAAAATAAATAAAACATTAATGTCTGCTGTGCTTTCCACAGTGAGAAAAATTTAATCTTAATTGCATCAAAGAAACTGCCAGTATATACGGCGTTTTACTTTATGTGAAACGGCAATTTCATATGGTTCAACTGACCACATTAAAAAGAAATGAAGTAAACGCTTTCGAAGGCATGAACACTAAGGTGTGGATGAAAAACTGCACAGGAAAGCCACAGTGTCTTGGCTCTGGATGCCCAAACCTCGTGACACTACAAAACACTTGACTTTTAACGTTTAATGATAAACTAAAGAAACTGGGGTTGGGGATCAGGTGTAAGAAGCTGGTAAACAACTATGTTTATTAATTTTCTATTCCTTTTTTCTTGTTAGAAAATTGGAGGCAAAAGTTCAAAACAAGAAGGAAAACTTGAGTAAGGAGACTGAAACACTAAAAATCAAATACTTGAAATGGAGGATAACTCCATTTATAGTCAACAAAATGTTACAAGTCCAACAGACATCACCATTAACAGACAAGAGCGTGGGAAGAGTGAGCTTCAGGGATGGCTGCCTACTTGCCGACCCTCAAGTCCAATTTTAAAGCTGCCAAGTCTTCCTTCTCTTACCTCAGCTATGAGGTAAGAAGCTTCCTTCTCTTACCTTTTGCTATGAGGCAGCTGAAAACCCATGAGTGCAGTATTACGAGGGTCTGAGACACTTACAGAATCATAATAGAAACCAGTGCTGTGGTCATAATACAAGCCCGTGTTCTCGTCGTAGGTAAAGCCAGTCTGCGACACAGCAGCTTCCGCTGCAGCTCTCAGGCTCTCGGCGAGTGAGGACCCTTCCAGCGCTGAGCCTTCTGCTAATGCAGAGGCACTCTCCTGCAGAGACATGTCCCAGGTGACACACACCATCAGCTAAGCTGGATCCCAGGGGATCCGAAACCACATGGACTGAGGTGTTGTTTCAGTTTGTTTCCAGTTTGTAATAGAAACACATGGCCATTAATTATCATCAGAAACATTTAAAAAAATATTTTCAAGTGTTTTCCAATTTAACTTTTGCCCTGAATTGTTTTTCCCCCCCTGAGGATAAAACAGAAGCCTAGACATGTGCAGCCAGTGCTGTACCACAGAGCTGCATTTATCCTCAGAATCTTGTCTGACTTTTAAAGAACCTAAAAAGTAAGATGATAACAGTATTCAAAGTTAAATGTGTGCTAATACAAGGAAGCAACCATGAAATATAGACTGTGAAGTATCGCTAAAACAGATGATCTAATTGCTCAATATAGGCAGGTGGGAGGACAGTTTGTGCCTGAGAATTCAAGACCAGTGTGGGCAACAAAGGGTACCCCATGTCAAAGTAACAAAGGGTGTAAACATGTAAGACTACACTGTTCCTGTGCCCAAAGCCCCATAAAGCCTTACCATCATGTGTGACTGTAACACTGAGTGCCACCATCCACACACGGGACAGAGAAAACCGTGTGCACTTGGTTCTCTGCTTCTACCTTTATGGAGGTGCCAGATAGGAATTGAACTCAAGGTACAGGCTTGTGGAACAAGCACCTTTTACCTCCTGGGTCACCGCACTGAGCTCCGAGGTTCATGGGCTGAGTTAAATATACTCCTTTAGTTCATATAATTACTAACAGGAAAATCATCACAACTATAAATACATTCATTCCCACTTCTGTTTTTTAGCACCCACAGCTGAGTGTATCGATACAATACTCTTAGGTACACAGGACGCTGAGGTAGGACACGTGAACTCAGGGAACAAGGCCAACCTGAGCAACAAAGCAAAACTCTATTTCAAAAGACAAAACAAGACTGGTGCTCTGCACACCGCCACACATTTTATACCTCATTTACAACTACTTATAACTCACGCATGCACGGAGCAGATCAAGGAATCCTCTCTCTCTCCAGAATCCCTAGACCCTGTTTCACGGTTATTAGCCTTTATTACCTGTGAATCCGAGGTGACGTGATCCTCCTGTCTATGGCTAACACAGTCTGTTGCATCAGTACCAGCATAACTATCAGTGTCCATTTGTGACTCGTCTTTAGAATTAAGAGTAGAAGCTTGAACATATTGACTCTGTTGTGCAGACAGTTCCGTCTCTTTACTGGGAAGACTGTCATCATTATAATACATCTGATAGTAATAATCTGTTGATAAAACAAACAAACAGCTGGTGAGTATACGGAAAAAGTTTAATTCTTAGTTGCAAAATCCAAATAGCAAACACAAAACTGCACCCATTAAATCTGGCCACAGGGTCAAGGCAGATTAAAGAAGGGTGGAGGGTGGGGGAATAGAAGGCTTATTGACAGAATTACTCAGTATAATCAGTATGGGGGTCTATGGGAGAGGATTTTCCTAGCACTGAAGAGCCTGAGGCACAAGACTGAATGAAGCCAACCTGGGGTACCCAGCAAGTTCCAGGCTACCTTTATCTCCATCCTGAGAACCTGACTCAAGCAACAAGAACAGAATACTTAGTGCAGCACTGAAAACATACACAAGCATTAAAGAAATTTAATACATTTCTATTTTGCCACCCATAAATTGACAAAAGAGTGACATAGAAAGAAATCTGTATTATCAGATTCTTCATAGTTACATATTTAGTCTGTATTATTTTCTCAGAATACTGAGATAATATCACACCTCCGTGTGTCATAAATGTTCTGAGGGTACTAGTGCACCCGTACTAGACACAGAATACCTGAAATTGACCAAGGAGCATGGTTCTCTGTCTGTACTTCTACATCAGACTTTTGATTATCTTCATTTTTCCCACAATGGAGTATCTTACTAAGTTCTTCTACCTGAAAGGAAACAAAGCGTTAGAAAAAAAATAAGCTATAAAGCAATTCAATACTACACAACACTCTACTATCCTCAGAACATTACAGGGCACTTATCTTAGTAGAACTTTTAGACCTGTACCCAAAGCAGCTGGTTCCTTTTTCAGCATCTCTACAACAAGTCACAAGTTAAGGCTGACCTCCATTTTTCTCCAGGTCATTCCTTCCTTCTAACATAGATCTCAGTATTCTGCAAGCTGATCATGAACTCACAAGCTCAAATAATCCTCTGGCTTCAGCCTCCCAGATAAGACTAACCACGCACGCCACTGTAACACACAGTATTGTCATACTCCAAGGTAAAGACTCAAATCACTGCTGGGGATAGTGGTGAACACCTTCATTCCAACAGCTGGATGGCTGAGCTCAAAGCTAGACAGGGCTACACAGTGAGACCCTGCCAAAGGAAGGAAAGAAGGAAAGAAGGGAAGGAGGGATGGAGGGGAGGGAGGGAGGGAGGGAAGGAGGGAGGGAGGGAGGGAGGGAGGCAAACCGTTCAAATCATCCCTTAAAAATCTAGGGATGGAACTCAGTGGTGGACATGCCCAATAATAATGAAGTCCTAGGCTCAGTCCCCAGCACCACAGAAAGTAAAGCCCAACTAAAGACAGTTCAAATACAGGCAAGTTCCACCCTTACCTTGGACAAAAATAAAAGGTTTATTCTCATAGCCTCCAAGGCCAACAGTTCTTGCTACAATTTAAAACTATAAGTTCCCATCTGAACTGAATTTCCTACCAGTACTCAGAGCCTCAGTTATCCCCTCAGATATATTTAAATGCTGTATGTACTTTGTCTTTGCTCTTATCACTAACTAACTTCAGCAGACTGGAACAAGAACTCGGCAGAGGTGGCAGCTCTCCTCTGTGTACTTTGCGCACTGAAGCCCCCTAAAAGATGCTGTGCAGCACATGTCATGAGTGAGAACCGCCTCGATCCGTGCACCTCCTGTCTGACAGGATCTCAGTCAGCGTACTTAATGACCAGTAAGCTTCAACACAGAATGGGCAGGGAGTGGTTACATACAGGTTTATCTAGGACTTTATGGACTGGGAGATCTCTCTTACTACCAGGACCAGAGACAGGAAAACTAATTAGAGAGAATGTTGAGGGGGCACAAGCTCTCAGGTTCATCGCTACCTTGCCCTGGTGCTGCCTGCCTCCGACGCTACCACTGCCACGAACTGGAACACTTAGCATCCACACTCATACAGGAACTTTGAGTAACATCTTAATCTACACAATCACCTTACAAAATAGTTGTCCTGATGCCAATGTTACACATGAAATGTCTTAAACAAAGTAACTTCTAATGGGTTTGTTAATCCGAGAACCAGCATATATGATGGCTGTTAGGTTACCCTTTATTTACTGCTCCAAAAGAAACGTATTCAAAGACTTGGGACCAACTTTACTGTCCCAGGAGGGAATGTTGACTAGAAGGTAATTATAACTATCAGCAAGATATAAGACTTCTACTTTGGATTTATTATTGTTGTTGTTGTTACATTATTAATTATTATTACTATTAATATTACTATTCCTACTATTGTTGTTGTAATTATTATAATACTGAGGGAAGGAAGTGTTGGGGATTATTATTATCATTATTATTATTATTATTATTATTATATTGGGGTAGGGAGGTGTTGGGTCCAACTCAGGGCCTTCTACATACAAGCACTCACTCTACCATTGGCTTCCATTTTCTCTTTCTTCCTTTCTCTTCCTTTCTTTCTTTCTCTTTTTAAACAGGTCTTTCTACATTGCCCACTCACAAGCCTCAAATTCCTAGACCAGAAATATAACTCTAAACAATGGGTACAGAAATCATTTCAACCCAGCAGTTCTTTTCTGAGCTCATTTAAGAACAGTATGTCCAGGACTGGGAGGAGGGAAAAAGGGGGGGGGGGCTTGCTGGTTAAGAGCAGTTGCAGTTCATCCCATACAGACCTCAGTTTGGATCCCAGCACCCACAGAAAAAGCTGGCTTGGTCTCTAGCACATCTGTAACCCTAGAACTGTGGGTGGTAGAGACAGGAGATCACTGAGGACTGCGGGCAGCCAGACTAGCCAAGAAATGTCAGGTCGTGGTTAAGAAAGACATCTTGTCAAAAGAATAAGGTAGAACAGAGGACACCTGCTGTCACTCCCTGGCCTCCACGTGCACACAGGTATGAATACACCACTCACACATTATACACACACTCTATGTAAAGAATAGGATGGCAAAGTCTGATGACATTTCAGTGTTTGGCCTCGAGATGTAGTTTTATAAAACACTAAATTATGGAGAAAACATTAGGTTAAAATTAAGTGTCTGGAAATAACTTGTTAGGATAATATGCAACTGTTCAATGAACAAGGTAAGAATATATAGATTTTTTAAGCATTACTGTCAAGGATTTGTCCTTACTACAGATTATGAAAATGAAACACACTTCTAGTATCTGTAAGAAAGGCAGGTATGCCTTTCAACAAGTGAACCCAAGACAAAAACTGAGATCACCTTATACACAGAGTATGTTCAAGAGTGTGTAAAACTAAACCGTGTTCCTGCTTTTCAAATTCATTGCCAGAGGCTATTATCACCCAGACTTTATAAACAACAGGGACACTCAATATAGGAAATGGGATTCTAAGTTCAGCTTTAAGCAAACTCAAAAGGGGATGGATGGGTGCTGGCTCCTGCCTGAAATCCCAGCCTAGGAGGCTCAGATGGGATTGCCATCAGTCGGAGTTAAACCGGGGCTACATCCTAAGATCTAAGATGAAAAGCTGACCTACGGAGTGAAATTCTGAATTGAGAATCCCAAGTCGGGTTGGGAGAGAGAAATGCAAGCCCACAACCTCAGCACTTGGGAAGTGGAGACATAGATCAAAAGCTGAACTTCAAGGTCATCCTCCGTTACACAGCAAGTTCAAGGCCCAAACTGGAGACTTTAGACTTCGCATCAACCAAAACAACAATAAAAACCCAACCAACCAAAGAACAAAACAAACAAACAATAAAGAAAATACTCAAACGTGAGCCACCACCCCCCCAAAAAAAATAAATGCGCCCATTGCCAGTAGGACAGATCAAGACCATGTGGTCCATGCTGAAGTTCATTCTCGCCTGCCCTGAGACAACTGTCCAAACCAACTGGCTGGCACTGTTCAACTGGCTCCAAAGGTACTCCGGATTTTGAACAGCTCTGGGCTTTAATGACTTCAAAGAGTCCATAGACAAGCCCGGCTGCGGCAGACCGCGCACCTGCGTGCGGAGTTCCTGGTTATTGCTCTCGGCGTTCCGGTACAGCCGCTCCGTGTGGTGCAGCAGCTTCTCGACCTCCCGCACCTGCCTCCTGCAGCTCCGCAGCTCGCGCTCCAACTTCTCCACCTTCCTCCTTAGCTGCGCCAGCTCCGGCTCGGGGGAGGCGGGCGGCGGCGAAGGCGCCTCGGAGGCCATGCGGCCGTGAGCGCGGGGTCCCCGGGTGCGGAGGGGCTGCTTAAGACGACACCGGTGCCCGCTGGCCCAGGGGCCACAGGAGCGCGCGGGCTGCGAGAGGCTGCCTCACGCTCCGACGACCGCAGCGGGCCCCGGCCATGTCGCCCCGAAGTCGGCGACCGGGATTGCGAGCTAAGGGACGAAGCCGACCCCGCCCAGGCCGTGTGGCCGTGAGCTCGGAGACCCTCCTGGTGACTGCCTCGGAGGAGCCAGGGGACCGGAGAACTAAGGAGAACCAAGCAGAAGCGCTTTAGTTCCGGGCTAAGCCGGAAACGCTGAGCCGAAGGTGGGCGGGGCCAAGACGGAAAAAGGAAACGACGGGAAGCTAGAAGGGTCTGTTAGCGTTGGTACGCGGGACCTTCTTCCCGAGGGGATAGGATCGGTTTACAAGTTGATGTTTATGTACCCAAACAACGATTTGTATTTTTATTTCCTATTGTTTCCCTGGATTTGTAGTGTAGGATTTTGAGTCCGATTCGTAAAATGTTTCCCCACGCAAAACCGAGGGTTCTTCCATTATACAAGTATTCTTACAAGTACACTTCGTAAGTTTGTCTTATAATGTGAACTTTAATTCTCTTCCCAGACTAAAGGGATTCACGCGCCCTAGTTTTGTTAAGACCGTGCCCCTTAGATAGCTTTGCAAGATCATCATTATCACTCTGAGCGCTCGATCTTTCCCATTGAGTATTAGTCTGTTGAGGATTAATGTTACCATAATACAACCATATAACCGCTTTGGTTCCGTAGGATGCATTTTTTAAAAACATGAATAAGAAAACTTAATTTTTATAAATAGTCAGTATGTGACCCAGCAATTCCACTCCTGACTCCAAGTCAACCTATCACGGAGAGACTTGGTGTACTAATTACAATAGTTAAGCTACAGAACCAGACAAGGTGACTAACAACAGTGTTGTGAATTAAGGAAAATATGGAATAGATAGGCAATGTATTTTTAAACAATAAGTAAAAATAAAATTACTTGTTAGCGACATGGTTTACATTTGCAAATGGATGCATCTGGAGATAATCATATTAATGGAATTCAGGCAGTTCCAGGAAAGCAAATATCATGTGTTTTCTCTCACACATGGTCCCTAGGTTTTATATAGATCATAAAATCATTTATGATATTAACTGATCTGTTAATAACATATAAGTACATAAAGATATTATCTTTTATGACATGAGAGTAGCAGCAAAACTGTCTAGGGGAAGAGAAGAGATTAATAAGGGGGGAGAAATGAGGCCACAGTAAAGGAAGGAATATACTTAATGTAAAAAAAAGTATGAAAATGCCCTTATGCAACATACATACAATGAATATATACAATGAAACTGTTTTTTAAGTGGATGGATGTATTTATTATCATTTTGAGAGTTTTTCCAATGTTCGGCTACAAAGTTGAATAAAGTCTTTACTCAAAAGTATAAAGTCACATGTGGAGGTACATGCCTGTAATCTAAGTACTCAGAAGACAGAGGCAGGTGAATTGACAAGCCTGAGACAGGGCAAGTCTCTGGCCTGCCAGAGCTGCATATCGAGAAAAGCTGAGGTAGGAGGACCCTGAATTCTTGCCAGCCCAGGCAGCATAGCAATATGCTATCTTGAAGAATAGCAACAGCAACAATAAGACACAAAGAGTTGGGCTTGGGGTTTAGCTCAGTAGAAAAGCTTGTATTAACATAAGTGAGACCCTGGGTTTGATACCCAGTACCAAACACACATACACACTACTTTGGAAGCAAGCTTATTTATGTAAGACTAATCCAGCAAACTCATACTTTATACCTGCCATTTTAACGCAGGAGAGAAATAAAAGGCCATTATTAATCTCATCCCATATATAATTATAACAGAGCTAGTCCTAACTCCTGTTTTTATCCAACAATCACAAAAATTATATGTCACAAGCTATAAGGTCAATTTATGTTTCTTTAAACAATAGGACTATCTGTGCATTAATTTTACCAGTAATGTTGTGAATGGCTCTGTGTTTGCCTACATTTTGATGTTAATTTCCACTCTCCTGGGAGGGGCTGCAGACAAGGAGTGAGTCAGTGACTTCTTTGGGAACCAATCTCCTAATGAATACAGGAGCCAATCACTGGGCGAGCAGGAGGGACTTCCAGGTTGGATAGGGCATGAGAGGAAGAGGAGAGATTGGGGGGGGGGATATCAAAAGGGCAAGTTGTAGCTGCTAGTGAAGAGGAAATTTGGAACATTTGTCCCCCACCAAGGGAGAAGCTGATTAACATTCCTCAGGGCACAGAGGAGGGAACCCACCTGCGAGTGGGAAGGCCCAGAGCACTTAGACACATTCCAAAGGATGGACCAACCCTTGCCACCTGCAGACAAGGGAAGTCCCTGCCACCTCTTTCCCTTAAGACTAATCAATTTAAAAAGTCACACTGTTCTGCCAATCACATTGTGCCTAATGGCCGCTGCCCTAAAAACTATAAAAACTGGCCAAACAGGCTGCCCAGGGTCGCCACTCCACCTGCGGTGTAGGATGGCCCTACATTGGATCAATAAAATTCCTCTTGCTTTTTGCATTGATTCGTGTCTCCACATGGTTCACTTAGGGGGTCTCTGGTAAAATGAGGCTGACAAGAGTCTTACGCTGGGTCTCCCAGTTTCATGGTAGATCCTCCAGGATTCGCCACCAGAGGAATTAGATTTAATATGGGTTACAAGAGTAGGATTCTAGTTGTTGTGCCCAGAGATTGAGTTACCATTGTTTCTGAACTAAGTTTGTGTGGTATTTTTCTTATCTCGAAGACTCGACTGGGTTCCAAAGAGAAAGGCAAAGTGTGGGTTTGGCTGATATGCACCACAAAGGCCGTGGGGGTTTTGAAGCATGAGGCTGGCATGGTAGCGACCTGCCAGTGGGAACTTAGTGAATTGGGTGGAGACATTTTAGGAACCACCAGGCCAGAGAGTCTGCCAAGATGAGAAAACCCCACAAGTGTCATGTGGCCTGCCAGTGCCTGGTGTAGTGCAGGAACTTGCTGTTGGTTTTTTTTGTTGTTGTTGTTGTTTTTGTTTTGTTTTGTTTTAGTATCTCCCGAAACACAGTAAAAGTCTTTTTATTTAATTTTCACTTTCAATTATGTATATACGTCTGTGTATGAGCTTGTACATATTAGTGAAGGTACCTGAGGAGGCCAGAGGCAGGAAAATGAAATCCAGTCTTCAAGAGAAGCACTTACTCTTAACTGGTGATCCATTTCTCCAGTCCTTCACTGACTTGTCTTTTTGTTGTAAAATTTATTTTACCAGTGTCTTAGTTGCTTTTTCATGATAAGATTTCATGATCAAGACAACTTATAGAAGAAAGCATTCACTGGGCTTTGCAATTTCAGAGGATGAGTCCGTAACCATCATGGTGAGGAACATGACGTCAGGCAGGCAGGCATGGCGATGGAGCACTGCAAACTCATACCTGATGCAAAAGCATGAGACAAAGAGAAAGAGCTAACCTGGCCTGGGCTTTTGAAATCTCAAAACTGGCCTCCAGTGACACACCTCCTTCAACAAGGCCACACACGCTCCCTGAAGTCTGCATGGACACTTCCCCAGAGCAGCTTCACAGCCTCTCAGACACAGAGTGCTGTTCACTTCATAGCCAGGTGCTCCACAAAGATAATCTCACAATTATATGGCATTCAAAGGGGAAGGTAGGAGCTGGACAGGGTTCAGTAGTTGACAATGTTTACTGCACTTCCAGAGGACCTGAGTTTGGTTCCCAACACTCATCAGGTGCCTCACAACTGCCTGCGACTCTACTCCAGGGCATCCAATGCTCTCCCTTGTCTGACCTCCAAGGACTCTTTGCTTACCTGCACAAACACACACACACACACACACACGCACGCACACATGCACGCACGCACGCACGCACGTGCACACACACAGGTGGCTCGGCAGTTAAGAGTGCTTGTTGCTCTTTCAGAGGACCTAAGTTCAGTTCCCAGCACCCAGGATGAGTGGCTCACAACCTCTAACTCCAGTTCCAGGGAATCCAACACTCTCTTCTGGCCTCCGTGGGCACTGCATGTACATGGTACACATACACACACTCAAGAAAATGCACATACTCAGAAAATAAGGAGACAAGTCTTTTTAAAAATTGAAAAGAAAAAGAAAAAATTCAAAAGAAATGAAGAGAAACACCAAATTTCAGACAAATGCATCAATTGATTGGCATGGGAAGGAGGAAGGTAAGATAAGGAACTCTTTGCTATTTTGTTGTAGAATCTGTGTGATCTAGAACCTTAATGACAGTCTTCCCTGGAGTTCTGTTTTTACAGGCAGTGTGGACAGGGGACAGGCCATGTCTCTGCAGTCAGACACCGTGACTGGGGAGTCTTAGAACATACCACAGGAGCTGGCGCATTCCTGTTCCTTAGTCTTCCATTCTCAAGGGTTGGAAGGAGCTTCTCACCCACTTTGACACACTCCACACTCATAAAGATGGCTTTCTTGTGATTGCTGGCCCTCATGGCACATGTGTTCCTGAAAGTCCTCCTCTGGTAAAGTTACAATCTTTCCTTTACCCCTTCTGACAAAAAAGAGCCCAAGGCCTCTCAGTGCTTCAATCTGAGGTCAACTGGTATCATCCCATGTGGGCCTGTGAGCATATTGGATTCTGATTATGTTCAGAAATCCCAGCTCTAGAGTTTCCCAGACAGGACCTTGACCACATGGCACAGCCAAGAGCACTGGAGGAGTGAGCCTCACTCACCTCAACTGGATCACAGCTCGTGCTGGCAGTTGAGGGAATTTTATTCTCTTCCTATTTCTAGGAAAATGTAAGTCTTCGGATTCTGTCCCTGATGATGGCACATGCCACAGAGCAGGCACATTCCAGTTTCACAGCTTTCCAGCTGTCTTCATACTTCTTTTAATGGCACCAGTAAATAAGTTTCCGTGGCATCAGTAACGTATATTATAT